GAGTATGCGTCCAAATCAGCGCCCGCCTGCAAGCGCAATTACGCCGCTCCAACAGGCGAATGCTATGCGGCTCTCTGGGGAATCAGTCACTTTCGTGCTTACCTGTACGGGCGAAATTCACCCTGGTGACTGATCATGAGCCCCTGTTGGCTCTGAAGAAGTCGAAGGATTACTCGGGCATGATCGGGCGATGGGCAACGGTGTTGCAGAGCATGAACTTTGACATCCGCCATCGGAAGCACGAGAGACACGGGAATGCGGACGGACTGACACGACTACACCGACCTGAGAAAGTTTCGAAGAATGAGGAGGTAATTCCGTGGAACGAACCCGAACAGGAGATTGGACCTCGGTACGGCCAAGTGGAGATCTTATCGAATCAGTAAGTGGCACGAGGACTAATTGTTCTGTCTGATCTACCCTCCCTGCATCGTCTCCTCCTCTGACATCATGGCTACTCCACTCGCCTCCGCAACCCCTTCATCTCCTACTAGTTCTGCCCCTCTCACGTCCTCCGCTTTCTTTGTCACCCTTCTCGATAAATTCTGCTATTTTTGCACGTGTATTGCACGGGTTTATGGGGTCGACTGTCATCCCTTCGAAACTGGGTTTGTCGATTGGGTAGAATGTGCCACATGTGTCAATCGTGCGCACGGGGCCTGCGTTCGATATCGGACGAGTAGCAAGGAATGGAGGTGTCCCCTATGTAGAACGAACAAACTCCCCACGGAGGTTCGATTCGAGGCCGCCCGTACGGACGGTCCCGAATACGATGAAAAATACCGACGAGCTGAAGTCTGGACGGATTAAATTTTATTGGCAAAATTAACGGGATTATCATTGGGTCACCTCACCAAACACGACAGACGTAGGGCGACCGAGAGATCTCGGGACTATCGATGGATCAACGGTCATTTGGAAAAGCGTAAAACTGACGGATCGGGTTCGTGGCTGACGATTCTCCATCCCTTCCAGAGATACGATTGGATCCGATCTGCTAATGAGGAACAGGCCGCTCATTTCGCGATACGTGTCACGGAGGCAACTGTAAACCAGAACCAATGGTTCTGGTCCAATATACGAGATAATGTCAAATACATTGTCGCTAACTGTCTGGTCTGTGCCGCTCATCGCGCCCCTATACGGGGACCAAACACAATCGTACCAACGGAAGTAGAGCGTCCTTTTCAGCGAGTCAGTATGGACACGACAGATATTGTTGTGCCACCTGGCCCAAACCGCTGTGAATATTCTATTTTATTAGTATTAATTGACCACTTTTCCAAGTACATCGAGGTCTATCCCTGTAAGACCCGAAAAGCCGCAGAAATAGCCATGTACATCGAACGGTTCCTCTATACCCATCTAGATATGGAAGAAATTCTAACCGACGATGGATCTGAATTTAAAGCTGAGATAGAAGAACTACTTGCGCGAAGTGGCGTCACGCTCCGACATACGGCACCCCACGTGTCCCAGTCGAACGGGTTGGCCGAGAATGCCAACCGTATGATTAAAACCGCCCTTCGCAGGAACTTAGCGGCACACGACACGCGTCCTTGGCCCAAAATCGTGTATCAGATCGTCGGGATCCACCAGGCCACCCCTCACGAGTCTACGCGGTTTACCCCCTTTTAGCTTCGAACTAATAGCCTCCCCTATGTCGATTACCGGGCCAACTCGAAAATTGCCGAAGCAGGGGGTAAACACGCGCGTGCGGCCCTCAAGGCCAAGGCCAAAAGGTACACCGATTTGATGGAACGGGCCGTTCCGAAGCTAGCGTGAAAAAGACAAAGGATGACCGAGCTGGCCCACGGTAGACAGGTCCGTAGCTACGAGGCCCGGAAAGGAAACGCTGGGCCCCAGTACCAATATAAATTAGGGGACCTAGTGCAAGTACGTAAATGTGCACGCGACCGAAAACTCGCTCCCAAGTACTCTGGCTGTTTTCGCGTTGTCGGACTCGGACCCAACGGCGCCAACACGGTGCGCGTCGCGCCTGAGGCTATTGCCAGCCATAGCTCTGTCCCAATCGTCCGACATACCTCCTACCTCCGTCTTCTTCCTCCTTCCTATCGTCCTCCCTCTTCTTCTTCGGAAAGCGAGGAAAACAACGACGATCTAACTTTCTCCCGTCTTTCTCCCTCTTGTCCTTCGTCCTCCTCTCCGACCTCGCCATGAGTTTTATCACGGAGCGGGTTCTTGACATTCTGCTGTTGCAGCCACGTGGCCACATCTCAGAGATTCGGCAAGTTTGTCACCCTCGGCTCAATGCGGATCTTCGGCGTTTAATGTGATTCTTCTGCAACGAAGGTATCTGTGCCGCCATCACGTTTCGAATCGAAGGAAGTCCTCGCGCAATAGTGTTTGCTGAGGTTACCGCAGTTCATCGGCGAGTGGGTCCCAGAACGAGCCACGTCACCACGGTCGCGGCATTCACCGGCGACATTAGCTCGGTCAATCCACTGCGGCATACCGCGATCTTGGCCTCGCTGCGCGAGTGGACGGAGCAAGTGTCCAACGTGTGGCAGCACGTCCTCGCCCGGGAAGGGTATAACATCATCCCGATCTTTGCATCGGATCTTGATGGTATTCGCCGATCACCGCGCGGGCGGCCAGTTGCGATCCCGACCATCGTCCCCTTCCCCCGTCCCCAATGAACCACGCTGCTCGTCTCGCTCTCTCTCTACCTTTGGTCTCCCCTCTCTCTTCCCCACCTTTTGGAAATCCGATCTTCACCCTTCTCTTTCCTTCTCGTTCGAGCCTCTTTCAGTCCCTCATATCCATCCTGGACATTGGTGGCTGTGGCGCGAGACTTTTGAGGAATTGTCCTTCTGCCTGGCCCGAGTACAAGTGAAGTGGATGGGCACTATCGAGCACCCCACGTGGATTGAGAATCCGGAGCTGCTGATCATACAGGATTGGAGGACTAACGCGGAAGGAGATCTTATTGGATTCCTCTTTGGATCGATGGAAGTCGAGAAGGGAGAGGGGGACCATGCCGGGATAGAGGAGGGGGGATGGTGGTTGGGATAGGGGAGAGGGAGAGGCGATGGAGGGAAAGGTCGGCGAAGGAAGGAAAGGCGAGAGAGGTTGGGATGGGAGTCGGGATAGAGGAGGACAGGAAAGAAGGGGAGGGGGGAGGGGTTGGGATGGGAGTCGGGATACGGGAGGGAGAGAGGTGATGGGGGGAGAGGTAAGCAAAGGAAGAAAAGGGGAGAGAGATCGGGATGGGGAGGGGGAGAGGTCGGGATGGGAGTCGGGAAGGGGAAGGGCGTCAAAAGAAGGAAAAGAGGAAAGGGAGAAGGGAGAGGTTGTTTTTTTTTTTTTTTTTGGGACACACATACACACCAACATGTCGATAACATATGAAAAGGCTCTGCGACTTCTCCAAGCTCAAGACTCCTCTGGCCGCTCTACATGAGGCTCAACAATGACGGACGTCGCCAAGAAACTCCTTTTTCAGTGCAAGCGGTTCTCGAAAAATGGCTCTGAAACAAACTTCATCGTAATTTTACATGACTCTCATCTATAACCAATAACCAGCAGCAATTCTTTTCGCCTCCTCTCTTAATACAAACAACTGGTGAAACAGAGACAACAAGTAACACGGAAAAAATGTGTTCCTTTCTTGACATCCATATTAAGGGTCTCGTTAGACACTCCTAAAAGTTCTTGTTTTTAGGATTGCGTCTTCGTTGCACGCAATCCTAAATCCAATTTCGAGATCGAAAATGTGAAAACGGCGTTAGGACCAGTCCTAAAGGATTTAGGATTCCCCAGGCAAAATCGTCCTAAATTTTTCAGTAGCCCCCGACCTACTGAAAAATTTAGGATTCCCGCGTTTCACGGACTCCTTGCGTCGCGCGCATGGCACCGTCGCCACGGGGTTGCTGGTTCTGGAGCGGTCCGTCGGGTGGGTGGCTGGACATTGGAGGTTTTCTGCGGGTCGAGGCCGGCAACGGCCACCAGCGGTAGCCGTTGGCCGACGGGGTGCAACGCGGGGGGGGCGATCGTGGGCGGGCTGGCGTCCATAGTGGACCGTTGGCTCGGTTGCGGGTGACGGAGGAGGAGGACGACGTGCGCGGGACACTGTACGGAGGCGTTTGGGGCGGTTCGCGGGCGGCAACGATCGATTTTCGAATCGCAGGCAGGCAGCTTTGTCGTCTTCTGTACTGGTTGTCGGCATATGAAGGTCGACCGACCCTATCCCCTGGCATGTCGGAACAGTCTTCTGCAGTAGTCGCGTGCGAGGGTGGCTCCCAAGGTGAATTCCATGGCTGACGTGCAGAGGAGATTGCCTCTGCTCGTACTCGCTGTCGTCGTGTTCCTCATTGTCGCCTTCCTCCACGTGTGTTTGTCGTGGCGGCCGTGGAAACAACATCGCAAGAGAAGGGCTTCAACGAAACGGGCGGCAGTGGAACGTCCGATGGCGCGCATGCAGGCACGCGCCGGTGTTGGTGCAGGTCAGGGCGGAAGACGACCTCCGTCTGCGGAGCCTCCACGGCGGTGCGACCCATCTTTGTACCCCCATCTAGATTCATGGGAGACACCACTGCCCCCGTCGGACGAGGACCCGGAGACAGAAGAACTTCCAACGTTGCCTCTTGCCCGCGGGTCGACGCAGTTGTTGTCGCAGACGGTGTGAGCATGCGGGTCGGCTAGCAACGAAGGCGGCGAGTTCACCTCACTGCTGCACCAAGGCTTGGGAGACGACGACGATGGAGGACTTGATCTCTGGTTCGGGTTGTGTTCTGGTGGCGCTAGGGAGGCAAGCTGCACGTTCATCATCGACGCCGATCCTTCACCACATGGCGTTCAACAATCTGGAAGTCAGCATACGGAGCACTCCACACTTCGTGGCGGTGCGTCCGTTACTGGCGGTGTCGGGCCATCGGCAGCCGGCCGGCAGCATGGATCGAGTGCACCGTCCGCTGATCGATTGACAAGTACCTGCCCCGCACGCAATGGAGTCGCAGTCCGGTCCCTGCGCGTCGGCGGTGCACGTCCTTCGATGCCCAAAAGCACAACGCCGACCCAACCCGACCTCAGGGACGACGGCACGTGCAGACCAGCGGTGCGTCCAGCACCCACTGTGGAGAACATCACACGAGGAGTGTCAAACATGAGGGCACACAGCGATGGCGGCGACGACGATGGTGGTGGCGGTGATGATGCCGACGAACGATTCAGGGAGGACGTGGAAGCAGGGGAAGACAACGACGACATTCCTATTCGGCCTTTGGGGAAGACAGGTGGGAGGGGGAGAGGACGCAACAAAGGTGTTGTTCGTGGTCGATCCGTTGGCCGTGGGGGCAGAGGTGGCGTCAGCGATAACGGCGGGAAGTTTGCGACGTACTGGTCCGCGGAAGAGCAAATGCAACTGGTGAGATGCAAGCGGGAGTAAGAGATGCACCTCGCCAGTTTGGGTCAGAATTACGTGCGGATGCTGACCAAGGAATGGAAGTGGGACGACATTGCGAAGCGCATGGCGAACGCGGGGAGGCCTAAAGACGCGGAGGACTGCATGAAGAAGTGGGACAATCTCTTCCAAAACTACAAGAAGATACAGAGGTTTTAGAATGCGAGTGGCCGGCCAGATTTCTTCGGGCTATCGAATGAACAAAGGAAGGAGCACAACTTCAAGTTCCGGATGGAGAGGGCGTTGTACAACGAGATCCACACAGGCATGCTCGGCAACCACACAATTTTTCCTCCCAACATCGCCGACACTGGAAGTCCGGACGGGGTGCAGCTGCCCAGGCGAGGAGCGGGTGCTGGGGAGTCTGTTGGTAGTGAGGCCGCTGGTGAAGGCTTCCCTGAAGAACGTTCTTCTACGAGGGACTCCGACAACAACGCAGCCAGCGGTGCTGGAGGCGGGAAGCGGAAGAATGTGCGTCAACAGGCATTGGATTCGATTGCTGATGTCATGGACCGCCATGGCGAACTAATGTCGTCGACGATCGAATCGTCTAGCAAGCGGCAATGCAGCATATTCACGAGGCAATGCGACATACTCGAGCAGGAAGTTGCAGTCCAGAAAGCGCACTACGCGGCGTCCGATGAGACGCAGAGGATGATGTGCCACGCGCTTATGGAGATCGTTGCCGCCATCCGTGGTCGGTCGGCGATGTAGGGCGCACGGTGTGTGTGTGTATGTGTGTGTGTGTGTGTGTGTGTGTGTGTGTGTGTGTGTGTGTGTGTGTGTGAGTGTGTGCGGGTGTCGTCCACACAGTTGTATGGGTACTGTTTTTTTT